ATAGGCACTTCCAATCCCTTTCACATTAGAGAGGGACAGATCCAGCCATAAGTGACTCAGTCAAAACTAATGAGATCTGAATATTAAATGATACGTCATGACAAAAATGAAAATGTTACTTAAACTTTTCGATAGCTACCCATCAGATCCTAAATTAATGTCATCATATAGTCATCAATATTTTAAGCTATATAAAACAATTTTGGGCTGGTGACCGTTGTTTAGCTCACTTTGTTGTTTTGCTTCTTTTCTCCCATTTCCTATTAAATTAACAAATCATTAATTAGTTATATACACTTACGATATGAAAAGTGGATTTTAACTCGGAAGATCCCCGTAATTTATCTACAACCCATTCATAATTCCCATTATGCGCCTTTTTTTTTTTTTTTTTTTTATCAAGATGGAAAGAAAGATTACCATTTATTAAAAAAAAATACTAACATATACGATTCTCATTCACTAGTACAAAAGAGGTAATTTACGTTGGTTATTTTAAGTTTTTTACTTCAGAAAAAAGTCTGACGTTAAAGCGGGAGACGTAAATTTACGTCGGTTGTGAAATCTGACGTAAATTTACGTCAGATATTGCCAAGATCCGACGTAAAAAAGTTGTAAACAAAAAAAAACATAACGAGTACAAGCAGAATGGCCCGTTCTGCTTGGAAAATGGGTCGTTCTGCTTGATAGAACAACCCAGAAGAAGAGACCAACCAACAACCCAAACAAATAGAACAACATAAAGACCGGATAGAACAAATAGCCACAATAGCAATGCGAAGCAAAAAAAGTATTAGTGATTCATACCTGAGTTGCAACAATGTGAGAACGAGTAACGAAGAGTTCACCACACTCTGCAAAAGATAGAAAAAACGATTTAGCAACAAAAGAGAGAGAGAGGGTTTATACAGAGAAGAATATAGAAAAGTGATGAGATCCGAGTGAGTGCGTGCGTGTGTCTCTCATGCACTCTTTTTATTCCCTTTCGCTACTTTTTTTACATCGGACATGGTAGAGTCCAACGTAAAATATAAAATCTACGTCGGTTGTATATTCAGGTCCGACGTAAGAAAGTTTACAAAAATTACAAAAATGTCACTGCATCTTTTTTAGGTCGATTTTTATTTAAGTTTGATGAGAAAGAGATGACGTAAAAGCCTCGTTTTTCACTAGTGATTTAATTTTATTTTACTTAGTACAAATACACTAAAAGAAAAGTATAAATTAGTTTCAATTAACTAATAAAAATTAACGTTAACCATTATTAAACTGTACAAATTAGTTTCAATTAACTAATAAAAATCAACGTTAACCATTATTAAACTACAATTATGAAGTTGTCATAAAAAAATTTACACAAATTTGTTTGTATTAATTAGATTAGTTAGTCATGTCTTATTAAAAATAGCTAAGTCAATTATATATCAACACAAATTAGAGTTGACCAAGTTGACACAAATAATATTTTGTTATTATTGCATTCGAGGTGTGCTCTACTTTTTTATCTCATTATCATTTTTCTTTTTACTCTCAATAACAAAAATTCTTCAACTTTCAACTATTTTGTTACTATAGCTTTCAATATGAGTCATTTGGCTTAATCTAGCCTGGTTTACCATGGGTTAGACAATAGGCGAGTCAATCAACCTGACTCGCCTTTTAGTGAGCTTAAGAAAAATCAATTTGATTCGATCTATCATGAGTTTGTGGATTAGATAGGTTGGTTCACTTAAATTAAAAAAAAAATAAAAAATTAATTGAATTTTATAAGAAAAATAGAATCTTATATTTTAGAATTATATAACTATGTTAATAATAAGGCAAAAAAATGTCAAAAAAAAAGTAGACATCAACCACGATCAACTTATAATATCAAAGTAGTTGTATAAAATGTTAACAAATAATATCAAATTGACATTAATAATTATAATTCATAACTAATATGTATAAAATTTAGTTAATAATATAAATATGATAATCACATAAACTAATATTTAGGAACTAATAAATAAATAAAAGTAAATTAGGTGGATAATTCGTGAGCTAATCTGACTTACCATGAGTTGACCTGTGGAGTGTTAGAATGTAAGATGGTCAAGCCAAAATTTTGTTATAATTGAAATGGGTCAAAAAAAATTTGCTTAGCCCAACTCAAACCTACAGTGAGCTAATTCACAAGTTTCAACTTATTTTGTTATTAGTTGTTGCAAAAATAACATTCTTAAACAAAATTTTAATTAGTTATTTGATGATTTACAAAGAATTAAAAATTAAATCCATATATTTTTAAAAAACGTATAATAAGTAAATGAGAATATTTATTAGTATTTTTTATTCATAAATTTAAATTATTTATTGTATTTAATTAAAAAAAATTAAAACTTTATGTATTATATTTAGTAATTAAGCTAATACGGATATTGTGACATTTTCATATTATTTCAATTTTCCTTCTTATTTAGAAATATTGGTTTCTAATCTTTTCATACGAATAATTTTTTTAGGAAATATAAATAAAAAAATATTCTTTAAAATCAATGTCTTTTTAAGCAAATTTTTCTTTAAATTCCAGTTAAATTTAAGAGAAACTATATTTATGGGACAAAATCTTATTCTATTAAATTAAGTGAAAGCATTTTAAATAATCAAAACTCTCTAAATCAACTTAGCCCATCATGAGTTTGAATCATGTTGAGTTGAATTTCTTTTCCTTTGATTATAAGAAAAAAATGTCCTAACCCATTTTCAACATGGCACATCATGATTGACTCACAGTGAGCTAGATTGCCCTAATTAGTTAATTTTTTTCTTCTTCTAAATTTCATATGCTAGTTTATTTGATTAAATATTTATACCACCAACTGAATTTTACACATATTCATTGTAAAGTTGATATTGTTTTTTTAAGTTTTTTTATTTTATTTTAAACGAATCAAACCATGTTGGGATAGATTGGATATTAGGTGATTCACTTTGAGAGTTCTAAGTTAAACATATATTATATAATGAAATTAACTCTCTTAGCGATAATTTACACACACACATGCATATATAAGGAAAGTTCAAACGATATTGGTATAACTTTTACCAACTATTACACCGCTCAATAATTTTCAACTAAATGTAAATCTTTCAAAATTTATCGTTAGATTGAAAGATCCTTAGTTCTAATCATATATGCAAAGTTTTATATTAATCAAAGATGATTTGATATCTCATTTTTATAAAATAAAATTGAAGTAATATATACATTTCAAAATATACTAAAATATGAACATTTTTACTATTTTCAAATTGTTGTTCAATTTTAACAAAATTTAATATAAAAGGTACAAGGTAATATGAAGTTATAATTCAATAACTGGATTGATAAAATTTACATTTAACATAAAATTATTAAGTAATGTAATAATTGGTAAAATTTATATAGATATTATTATTAGTCATGCATTATAGAAAACAAAAATAAGCAATACACAATACTACTTCCCTTGTTTTTAAATAGTGCTGTAGTTTAAATTTTTATACACAATAATATTTTTAATCAAATAGATGTGTAATTTTCTATTACATTTCTTTATTATTTTACTTTACGATAAATATATGTTAACTATAATATTTCAACTAATTAAAATTTAAATATAAAATAAGGATATAATTAATAAATAATAATAATTAATTTTGTTTTAAAATTTGGACAACAATAAATAAATAGAAACAAAATTCTTTATAAAAAAAATGGATATAGATGAGAGTATTTAATTGATTTAATTAGTATAACTTTTGCTAAGAAAAAAATTCCTATTTGTTTGTCTTATATAATGTTTGGTTGGAGATAAATTGAGAGGAATGGAGAAGATTTTATAAGTTATTTATTGTTTGATTCAATTTTTAAGAGAGGTGATGAGCAAAATCTCCTCATCTAATTTTAGTTCCTCTTTGATATTTGGAAAATTTTGAAGGAGAGGTGAGAGATTTTAAATGCATTTTTAGTATAATGTGTTGAATACATTCTTATTTATATTTTTAAATTTAAAATTCTAAGGAAACCAAAATAAATAAATTTTTAAAATCATTCCCCTTATCTTATAAATTAAACAAAAAAAAAAGAACTAAATTTGTTCCCTTCTTCTTTTCTTAATCAATTTTTTTTTAATTTCTCCCATATTGGCCATTAAATATTTTCCCTCCTTTTCTTTAAACAGACTTTAAGGAATCTTAACGTGAGAACAATTTCAAAGTAGGCTATTAATTTTCATTGGAAAGGAAAGCCAGTTCTATTCCTGATTTTGCCCCCTACCTCTCCAACTGTTTTATGTTTGGTGAAAGTTTGGCACCTTTTCTAACACTATTATTATAATTTAGAACCTTTTTTATTTTATTTTATGTATAAGTTTAATCCATACAAAATGTGGCATTATATATATATATATAATTCAGATCATAATTACAATTTTTAATTATATTTAAACCACTAAAAATTATATAAAAAAATGATTTTAATCTCACGAGAAACCAAAATTACATTATTTTGTTTAATTTAATATTACAAACAAAGAAATCCTATATTTCAAACAGTAAATTCTTAATATAACCTACGCTCTTGGAGTACGGAACAATGTTTTTTTCCACCTTATTTTTAAACAAATGCCACCAACCCAAAAAAAAAAAAAAAAACTTTGTAACAAGTGTGGACGTAAAACGCTTCAATTATCATCTCCATAATACAGTAATCAATGAGGAAATTGTATGCAGCATTCGATCCATAACAACCCAGCTAATTAAATTTAGGAGTTAATAGATGCATTATGTAAGCAAAAATGGACTAAGTTATCTTTGAAAGGGTGCCCCAGATATGACAAAAAGGGGAGACTTAGTTTCATTAAATTAATCAATGGGCTTATCCTTAAGGAAATTTCACATAAAATAAGGAGTAAAGAAACCAGGGGTTGCTTTCAAATGACATATTCATATTCATATATATTAACGTTTGTTCGGATATGATGAAGTATTTGCTCTCACGTCCTCTAATAAACAAAGACCAAGCCAATCTGTCAAAACACGATGCCTCGTTTTTAAAGGGCATTCCCCCTTCTCTCTCTTCCTTCCCTCTTTCTTAATTATCTTAATTCCCTTCAATTCTGGTAATCTAGCTAACCCTTTTCCATTTTCCACCGTCGCCACCTTCTAGGTGGTATCAAGGGTCAATATCAAATCACACACAGCACAGTTACTAGCTACCTCCAAATCCCAAGAAATGGATAGTAAGTTCAGCAACAACCGCAAACCATCCTATACCATCAACGAACAAGAAGACACTGATGCATCTCAAGAAAACAATATTGCAGACTCCCCTCCCTCTTCCACTGTGCTCAACATCGATGGCTTAGTCACCTCCCCCACTTCTTCATCAAAGAGAAGGTTCGTACCTAAAATAACTATATACCTTTCGTTTAAAATTGAAACTTTACTAGGAATCAATTAACAATGATATTTCTATGTATGTAACATCACCCTTAATTTACATCACTTTTTATCTCTTAGTACATATTTGAATTATAGTTTATAAATTTAATTTACGATGAGACTCAGCTAAGAATTAGACAAAAGAGTTTGAATTTGAATGGAAAAGCAAAGACATCCTTAGTATAGGTATGGTTGTTGAAAGAGCAACTGATTAATTATGTGATTGGGTGAAAATGGGAATTGGTTATGTTGAATTGAGCAGGAGGGCAATACAGAAAAGGGTAGTGCAAATCCCAATCAAGGAGACAGAAGGGTGTAGGCTAAAAGGAGAAAGCAACACCCCACCCTCGGATTCATGGGCATGGAGAAAGTATGGGCAGAAACCCATCAAAGGTTCCCCTTATCCCAGGTTAATTGAATTCCATTCCAAGAACATGCTATTCATGTTTGGGCTTTTTAAGGTTTGTTGCAATTGTAGGAGCTTGTTTTGTGAAGATAATAATTGAGGAGAAGAAAGATAAGTAGTGTAAGTGTATGTTGGAATTGGATAGTGAAATGGGTGTTGTTGATGTTGTTATGACACAGAGGGTACTACAGGTGTAGCAGTTCGAAGGGGTGTCCGGCACGGAAACAAGTGGAAAGGAGCTGTGTGGACCCCACAATGTTAGTCGTCACTTACTCTTCCGACCACAACCATCCCTGGCCGCTTTCTAGGAACCATACAAGGCCCACAAAGAAGCCCGAACCAGAACCAGAACCAGAACCAGAACCAGAACCAGAGCCTGAACCGGTTCTGGACCCGGTCGAACCGGAGGAGAAGTTCGCGGATCTGGGAAGGGACGATTCCATGATCAGCACAGCGGATGAGATGGGGTGGTTTGGGGAGATGGAAACGACGTCGTCCACGGTTCTCGAAAGCCCTATAATGACCACGGGCTTTCATGCTGACGTGGCACTGTTGCCGATGAGGGAAGAGGACGAGTCGCTGTTCGCCGACCTAGGAGAGCTGCCGGAGTGCTCGGTGGTGTTCCGCCAGGGGATGCTGGCGGAGCGCCGGCGGTACACGGCTCCCTGGTGTGGGACCACAAGTTGAGGCCCAAAAAGTCAAAATAAGAAAAACAAGAACTGCCTGTTTGACACGTTCTTCGTGCGGCACAAGAAAAAGATACCATTTTTTTTTCTTTCTAGTTTCTAGATTTCTGATTTTCTTTTATTTTTTTTTTCTCTTGTTATTTACCTTGTTGAAAGTAGAAAAATGAAAAGGAGAAATATTGAGAGCGTAAATCGAGTGTCCTGGATTTATTTTAACTTAAATAAATAATGATCATCAAATTCAAGTTATAAATATTTGGATCGATTGAGAACTTTATTACTTGTGATTCTATTTGAAAATAGAATTGATTCTTTGTTTTTTTTTATTATATAGAATATATGTGTTAAAAAAAATACAAGAAAAAATGAGAAAATAAAGCATGTTGTTTTTGGTAGACTAAAAATAGACGCAAGAGGAAAGCAAGTACTAAATGATGAATAAATATTTTTAAATTTGAGTCGGTCATTAAATTAGAGAAATTCATTTGATATTAAATAATTATTAAACTAGTATTAATTTATATTCTCTATATTTTTTAGAGTAGGAGATTTAAACTTAACTCAACCCTACAAAACCAGCTTGTAAAATGAGAGTTATTTTTCACTTATATATTATTTAATTGTCTAATCTCTAGTCAATGTGAGATTTGAATTTTTTCAATATTGATATATAAAGGATATAGCAATTATCTTTAATTTTTTATATTTGTGTATCTTGCACAAGAGAAATTCTACGGTACTCACTATAATTGTGGGGTATCGGAACAGTCATTTATTTTGGTTTAACAATATAATCGAATGTGAATACTTAAACACAATGAAAATAATAAATTTGAGCTAGTTATTTTTTGAATTTGTTTTGTAGCGAAGATAAGGGTAAGAGATGAAGAATAAAAGGAAGTTAGGGGAGAGTGTGTGAAAGTGGTTGTAACTTAGGCCGTCCATTTCAACAGCTTGCACAATGTTTGAAAATGATATGATATTTGATTGGACCACTATCTCCCATTCGTTTCTAGAACTATACATTAATGCGCCGATTCTATTAATTACCAAGAATTAACAAAATCTTCTCCTTCAATTTGACACACTGCAACCAACTCATTTCAACTATTTACTTCCTTCACTTCAATTTCAATCTCTATATCTATGGAAAAGGAAATATTTGTTCCAAGGACTTTTAGCTTTCCCGCTTTATATTATTTCAAAACATAAATATTTCCTTATCAACTTAGACAATATAACCATTTTTATACAGATAGTCTTTTCCACACACAGGAAAAAGGAAAATGTTAAAGATAGACTTGTCTTTCTCTACTTAGAATTTGGATCTTGGAACTTTATTTGGTTAAAAATAAACTTTTATTAATCATTTTTTCTTCTAAATTATTTCTTAGTGGTTATGGCTATCTCTCTATAGTTATTTGAGTTTCTCTTAATTTGTCTATTTTATCATTTTTTATAATTACTGTGTTTTTCAATAGGTTCAAAAACTTTGAATAAAAGAAATTAATAGATCGATATTAAATCTAAAAGGTCTGATTATTTTGTACGAATTATGAAGTCATAATTTTAAGTTTCTTTTTTTTTCATTGCACACATAAAAAAATATTGAGTTATAATTTTATATTTTTGTTTCTACATGTAATATTGTCAAGAGTTTTTTTTATACAATTATTGTCACAAGTTAAAAACACGTAAATAAATATAGGTTGGTAAAAAAACATGTAAATAAATTAGGGGTACTTATTTAATCAATACAATCTAATAAATGTCTAATCATTTTATTTAATCTAATTAAATCAATGTGAATACTTGATTTACTTCAAGTTGAATTGAAACTAAAACAAATATTTATTTAACACAATATGAACTATAAAATTTGCATGAATAGACATATGATTCAGAATAAATTATATTTATTATATTTTAAAATAATTGGTAGATAAATTATGTAATATTATTAATTTTGTGAGTGTTTTATTAATTATAATTTTTGATTGTTTAGATGTCAGTTGTCATTGAAAATTTTGAGTCAAGGAACCTTGAGAGTAAGTTGGTTTTTGGATAACTGAATCAAAGACAAGTGAAGTCAACTCATAAAAGTATAAAATGATTTTCTTAAGTTTTGAGTCTTATAGCTCAAGTTTTCAAAATTGTATAGAGATAGACTATTGAGAAGTTTTCTAAACTTGAGCAGACCTTTCCCTTTTTCTTCTCTGGGTTAGAAACCTTTCCATCCTTTCTTGTAGCTGATAGGAGTTGTTGAGTTGAAGGATTAGGACTTGTGAAGTTGGGATTTGGATTTGGAGTTGTACGAGACTGTTATTCTTTTCTCCTTTTGTTGTTTAGGTGCTCCAAGAGGTAAGGGAAGTTTGTGTATCTTGTGTTGGATTGCATGTTGAAAATTGTAATTACACTAGTGTTGACTGTTGTTCTTACCGATATCAACTCGTCTCCTGGTGTAAGATGTCTTCTTCCCAAGGTTCGATTCTCTTTGCGATGTCCGATCTTCTCCTTGAGGTCCTCGGATGTACCTGCAAAAAGGACTCCGACGATCAAGTTAGTTATCTGTCCTATCTCATGTATTGCTTATATTATTACCTGTGGTCATTCCTGAGTAACCGTGTAACTGTTGTTCGGTTATCTTCTGAGGGTTATCGGCGGTTAAGCCATATTCGATGTCATTGATATGCCAAGGTGTATTACCAATCTCCCTTCTCCGATGTCACACCTCAGCGTTTCATATGTTTACTTTGGTTTGACTAAATGGTCACCTCGGTCAAAATTGTCTAATGAACTCGGTTGAGCTCGGCCTTATGCTAGGTTGGTACAACTGTTATGATTGATTGGATGAAGATGAGTAATAAGTCTTTTAGGGTTTTGGGTTCTTGAGGATGTTTATGAGTGTTTTGATGATTTCAGGTAATTTTATGGTTGCATGTTGCTTTTGATGATGAATTTGTGTTGTTCATGTTGTACAAATGTTGTTTAGTGCAATGCATGTTGTTGGGATTGTTGGATTTCAAGTGGATTTGCAAAAGCAGGTTTTGCAAAAGTACGAAAATTGATATCGTGTAGGCGTCTTCAAGGCGCCAGGCGTGACTCTAAAAAGGAGTCTCTATCTTACTCACGCCAAGCACATGATTGGTGGCGTCGGGCTTGAGGAGAAATAATTATCTTGGGTTGAAATCATGTTGGGTGTGGGTTGAATAGCATTAGCATGAGAAGAAAAACTCATCTCTACCTAAATTTACATCAAATGTTATTACATGTGGTGTTAAACGTGATTTAGGCAGAGATCCTTTGATTGATTAGGGTTGGACTTAAGTTTTTCCACATTCGGTGCGAACGAGTGGGAGACTCTCAGTCTCAACCACATCTGTAACGACCCGGCTGGTCACTACACACACACCAC